CATATTATTTTAACAAGTATACTGATTAAAAATTATTTGAATTACACTTTTTCAATTTTGTTTTTTATTATATACTTAAATATTTTATTAATTAATACATTCTTGATCACCAGATGAGAATAGAAGGGCCTTCTTCAGTATATAACAGTCTTTATTGTTATTTACTTTATGTATGTATGTGAGGGTTTGTGTGTGTGCATGTTTGTGTGTGTGACAGGGGAAGAAAGAGAGAGAGAGACAGAGAGAGAGAGAGAGAGAGAGAGAGAGAGAGAGAGGAGCCTATGTGACTGTGCCTTTCTACCTATTTTCATCTTTGTTCTTTTCTGGAGACTTGGCATCCACCACTGCATAACCAGACAAGCTGGCACACAAGGTTCTGGGTATTCTCCTGTCTCCACCACTTCCTTGCAAAGGGCTCCTGGGATTATAGAATCTTCACCAATTCCTCTGGTTTCTAGGTATTTGGTGTTTACTATGCACTGTGGTATTACAGTTATGCATGTATTAAAAATTCTGATATTTAGTATCAATTTTAATATCAAGGGGAGATCTGAACGGCTAAGAATCTGCTCCTTCAGGATTCTTTTGGAGCTGTGTTTTATTGAAACAATATATCCAGAGTGAAATGGGAAATAAAATCAGACCCTTATCAGATAATTTTGCTCTATTTGTCCCTATTCCTAGTACACACACACACAGACACACACACACACTAACATACACACACCAGAAAAAGATGTTATCAATTAAATTTTATGCATTGTTTTACACACAAATGGAATAATTATATCTACATTATTTACAAAGAATAATCTCTACTTTCAGTGATTTTGCTACTCAACACACACACACAAACACACACTCATCCACAAACACTCGAACACATCTATACACACAAACACACATTATATAAACACACAATCATCCACAAACACTCAAACACATCTATACACACAAACACACATTATATAAACACATATATACGTACATGTATGCACACACGCACACACACGTAAACACATATACACATGTACACAAACACATCTACACACATACTCAAATACAAACACACAGACACAAATACACACTTTCGCACACATATCCCCACACCTACACACACACACATATGCACACACATATACACACATACATTCATGCACACACATGCACACATGCATAGGCAAACATATACACGCACACACAAACACATACATACATTTATACATGCCTTCACACACATTCACATATACACTCATGCACACACATACATGCACACACATACATACAGACACACACATACACACTCATAGGTAGACATATACACACCTACACATACACTCACATATATACCCACACATACAAACAAATGTATACATTATGCTGTGTCCAAGACATGGAATTGTCATGAGATGTTTAAGCTATGCTTAGGTTACAAGAGGAGCTCAAGATGAGGATTGTTCTCATCACAAACAGGGTGAGATAAGATTGTCTTTCTGGTTGTAAGGTTAACTAAATTAATTGTTCAGAATATGTCCACATTGTAAAAGTCACTACTATATATATGGGTTCTAATCATAACAAAATGTATACAGTGTCCAAGACATGGAATTGTCATGAGATGTTTAAGCTATGCTTAGGTTACAAGAGGAGCTCAAGATGAGGATTGTTCTCATCACAAACAGGGTGAGATAAGATTGTCTTTCTGGTTGTAGGTTGTA